CCCCCCCCGCCCAACCCCATATGCTATAAAAACTCCACTGCCCACCTGTGACACAGGAACTGGTTTTCTGCATATAAAAGCCAGGATCGGCTTTAGGCAAGCACAGCGATTGACTACGGCTCCAGGCCACAAGGGCCCCCAGGAAGCTAAGTTGCTCAGGCTTTGATTTTAGTCCTGGGCAGCGGGACTCAGGGCCCCCAGGCTTCAGCCCCGTGTGGTGGGACGTTGGCTTTCTGCCCTGAGCCCCAGCAGTCTTCACGCTGGTCCGGCTTGGAGAGTCCCCTGAGACATGCGCAGGGCCCTGGACCCCGGCTAAGAATCACTGAGCGAGGTTTGCGGGTTGTAGTGCCAGACAAAATCCAGAGCGAGTGTTTAAATACACGTGGGCCGTTTAAAAACTCGTGTTTGATTTGAAATCTTTTACAGAATTTCCCATTGTGAGATCTTTGGCTATGTTATCTGATCCTCTGGAGAGGAGAGAGTGAGCGTCAGTTAGCTCAAAGAAGCTGCCTTCAAAGCTGTTCATGGCACATCTACGGAATGTCCTCTAGATGGCGAATTCGGGAAGAGACATAAGGAGAAAGTGGATCAGTCACTGTAGAACTTCAGGCAGAATCCAGCTCAGAGGACAAATGTGATTGGTAAATATTAACAAAGGGGCCTCACCAAAAGAGAGCTAAAAATGGGACTGAAATGTAACCTAGACTGATGTCATGCTCCATTCATTTGCATGGGGTGGGGGATGCACTCACGAATCAGGCACGTAGAGTGCCAAGTTCAGACAAATCTGATCCAAACATTCCATAAAGACACCTGTTTGAAGTGGAAAGCGCGAAGGAAGCTGAAGATAAACCACTTTTCCTGAAGAGGAAACTCCTTATCCTGACTGAATTTCACCTAAATTAAGAGCCAATACCTATGTATACTTCATAAAGAGTTTGTGCTTGAGATGGGTCTTGATTGGCTTTTATTCTGCATTTGGTTTTGTGGCCTTATCGATACATTTGGAGTTAACTAAGTTCCCACCTCCAAGGTGAAGGTTTACACCTACTATAATCGGGGAGAGTTCAGCCTTCCAGTTTGACTATAGTAGAGAGGTTATCAAGAGAAGAGAGCCCACCTCATGGTGTGGAACAGAGATCCAAGAGTGGTTTTTTTTTCGTCCTTTTACTTTTATTAGCTAACCAAATATTACACACATTCTGTAATACGTGTAATACGCAGTTTGATAAAGGCGGGACCAAGCATGACAATACATGGCATTTGCATACCTCAGGCCTTGCAGAAAGCCCTGACGTGTTAGTGCTCATCCTTGCAATCAGCATCAGTCTCCCTACTAGAGGCCATCATCTGGTTGTCTCCCCTTGCCAAGGCGCACAAAGCAGGAGACAGCATTGCTGATGTGTCTGATGCCCACTGGGGTACACTCCTGTTTATGAAGGTTTTAACCCCTTTTTCTTATTTGCACTTCCACACCTCACTGTTTTGCATAGGCTAACGTGTTAGCTTCCATTATGCTCATTAGCATTTACGTCCCCTTATCACTCTGCAGTTATTTTCAAAACATCAGCATATCACAAACCTAGACGCAAGCTCAACAGGTTTCTTAACAACTTACTTACACTAACTTATCCTAAGGCCTAATTTGGCTGGGCTAAATAGTTCACAGGTCTCAGGCAGGTAGGCCCTGTTACACAATATCAGTACTTGCATTTCACTTCTGTATGCCAAATACACCTGATACCTTTCAGTGCAAAACCTGAATAACAAGATGGCCCCTGACATGTGCTAGATTCTTCCACTTAACTCTGTGGCTACGTCTACACTGGCCCCTTTTCCGGAAGGGGCATGTAAATTTCACCAGTCGTCGTAGGGAAATCCGCGGGGGATTTAAATATCCCCCGCGGCATTTAAATAAAAATGTCCGCCGCTTTTTTCCGGCTTTTAAAAAAGCCGGAAAAGAGCGTCTAGACTGGCCCCGATCCTCCGGAAAAAGCGCCCTTTTCCGGAGGATCGGGGCCAGTCTAGACGCTCTTTTCCGGCTTTTTTAAAAGCCGGAAAAAAGCGGCGGACATTTTTATTTAAATGCCGCGGGGGATATTTAAATCCCCCGCGGATTTCCCTACGACGACGAGTGAAATTTACATGCCCCTTCCGGAAAAAGGGCCAGTGTAGACGTAGCCCTCCTGTCTTTTTCTATCCCTAGTTTAAGCATGTGAATATGTCCAATGTTAATAATTGAAATGTCAAAATATGACTGTCTGGTGAGTTTAAAATAGTCCTTGTAACATGCTGGACAGGTCAGCTTTGATTGCTAATGTCTATCTTGGTTCTAAATGAATATTTCAAGAGATTTAATTTATTTGCTTCGGTTCCATAGTTTTTAAATAGATACTAGCTAGATTGTGCCATCTTAAATCCATGAGTGGTTGGCTTTGAGATCTGTAGTACTGCCTAAGTAAGGTTCCGAGTGTATCACATAGTTATATTAGTTACATATTACAAAATGTGGCAGTATTTCAAACTTCAAAAGCGTATGTGTTTCTTTAGTACCATTGCTTAACCCTCTGTCATGGATTACTTTGTAGGGATTAAGATTTAACAGTATAAGGCAGGGCATTTACTGAGCTTGTTTGCCAAAAACATGGCCATCATGGATTGCACATCTAGTATGCAATTGTGAGTTTGCCTTTGAGATGTAATTTTATTAAACTATAATGCACAGAATTTGGTAATTTAAGGCTTACCTACAAGGAGAAACCTACCAGCATAATTATACCACTGTAGTGTTATAGATAACTTTTGGTGTGGAGGCTCTTTCTCCAGAATAAACATTCACACATGGAAATATATAATATGACTACATCTATTCTGGTAAATTTTCTTGTGTAGACAAACCCTTAAGCTCCCATTGATCTTAATGGGAGCAGAATTAAATCTCTGCTGAGTTCTTGTGAAAATCCTCCCTACTCTGGCTAGGCCAACATGGGAGGAATAGATGCTTTTCCCCCGTCCCTGCCTCCCATAGAAGCATTCAGTGACTACAGCTGCATTGTAATTTGTCAGGGCAATGAGACTGTCCAGTGGTAATGCAGGACTTGGAGCAGTATTTCTGACAGTTGTGAGCATCTAGATATATTAACGGAACTAATTTACTTTGAGATTTACACTTTCAATATTTCTCATCACAAGTGTTCAGCTTTTTAAAAATGTTGTTAGGAGGAACTGTGGTGGCTACTTCTGTAAATTATAAACCACCAGTCCATTTGGCTTCTTTTCCCTCCCTGTGTTCTTCAGTTGTCTTTCTAAAATCTAAATTCTGCACCTTTAAGGAGAGCAGAAAAGCCCTTCCATGCCACTTACACTAGTTAAATGTTACCCTACAAGTGATTCCACCTAGGGAAAAGAGATTAAAACTTTTTGCAAGGATTCTTGATACATAAAATCGTAACAAACTCTTAAACCTAGCTGATGTCAGTGCCCAGTCCTTAGACTTAATGCTGTATTATTCCCAACTCCTGCCCCCTGGAGAGAGATGTTAGGGGTGATGCTTTCAGACAGACACTTGCCAAGCAAAGTATCTCTCTCTTCCTCCCCCCCCCCCCCGGGCAAACTGTGGCATGGGGGACTGATAACGTTTAGGCTGGCTTTTGCTGTGGGTTCCCCAGAAAGGCAAACTCATTTCTGTTGCATTCCCCTTTATTGAAACTTGCTTTTGGCAGGTTTCATTGACACAATGGCAAAAATGTGTCTTGCTGCCGGCAGCGGTGCCTTGTGCAGACCAGGTCTCCTAGCAGCTCAGCTGTAGACAGGGCTGCAAAGGCTGGACCCATTTTTACATGTACAGTGTCAGTTCAGTCTGCTGGAAAATAAGTGTTATCTCTCCGGTAAGATGAGAGGAGGGTGCTTATTGGATAATTCCCAGAGTGCCTCTACATGTGGATTCTTCCCACACCAAGAGGATAAAGAGCTAGATGGTCATAATCAGGAGTCAAAGTTGGAGCCCTCTTCCCGTGGATGAAAAAACAAACTTTTGTGGGAAGCAGAAGAGTTTAGACTTGTTGCTGATCCAGATTGTGCGTATTCCGACTGACCCCTCCGTCCCATTGTGTGTTTTATTGGGTATGAAGTAGGTAAATGTGGTCTCTAGCTTTTGTATCAGGAGATGCATCTGTGCTGCCTATTAAAGAATATGGGCAATGGACACATTCACCTCCACCCTTCATCCACCATGAAGCTGAGTGCCCTACAGCAGGTCGGAGCCCGTATCTCCTCTGATCGGAAATACAATAGCTCAGCATCTTGCCAAGCAGCTGGGCTGGCCTAAAATTGTGCCTCTAGCTGCTCTTGAAGGGCAAATCTTGAATGTACTTACAGCAGTGGGTGGATGGATCGTTTTACCTCATAAAAGCAAAAGCGGCGAGGAGTCCTGTGGCACCTTATAGACTAACAGAAGTGTTGGAGCATAAGCTTTCTGCATGCATCTGATGAAATGGGTCTTTGCCCACGAAAGCTTATGCTCCAACACTTTGGTTAGTCTATAAGGTGCCACAGGACTCCTCGCCGCTTTTCAGATTCAGACTAACACGGCGACCCCTCTGATACTTATAAAAGCAGTAACTAATTAACCGCCTTTGCAGCAAGATGCTGTGCATCGGATTGTAAATGTTTAATTCTGGAAAGAGACTGAGTTGTTCACCCTCAGAACGGCAGTGTGCGTGTCAGCAAACTGTAAACCCCAAAGTTAGTCCCTGTTTGCACTACACCTCTTCTTTGAAACTGGGGCGCTGCCTGGCTAGTGCTTTTCTGCTGTACAACGTTTCCCCTGTAGATGGCAGTACTTTACTTTGATTTTATAACCCATTCCTATAACTTTAACAAAACAAGTTCAAACTTCATATTTTAAGGTGAAGTGAAACAAAAAATTAACAATAAATTCTTAATCCCGCATAATTATCAACAGGCTGTAGCTGTGCATCTATAAACACACTTTAATGCTGAAGCTTACTTTAACTTAGTTCCTTTTTTTTTATTTACCTACCAGGGCCCTTCTGGTTTTGTTTCCCTTCCTGCACTTCAGTGCCCTGATGAGCACCAACTTTTGGTGCTAGAAGTAGCTGAACAAAGGCACAAATGTGAGGCTCTGAGTTTGGGTTATGGAAGACAAAACAGACGTCATAACCTGGAGGGCATCTTTAATATATACTTGTAATAGAAATATACAAATGGTCTGTTACGGACTTGGGATTGTCAGCTGTTGACAGATGTCCTTAGAAGGTAAAGGTATACCTAAAGATTAGCGGTGTTTAAAATAAACACTCAGTATTTCAGCCAGCCAATTAATACATACATATAAGATTTCACCAGCAGAATAGCCTCCGTTCCCATCCCAAGCCCCATTCACGCTCCTTGGGTACTCGCAGAGGGGTTGTTGTGTTAGTCTGTAACTTTAAAAACGAGTGGTCCTGTGGCACCTTAGAGACTAACAAAAATATGTAGATAGTATCATGAGCTTTCGTGGGCAAAACCCACTTCATCCGATGATCAGCTGGAGGGAATAAGAGCGGCCACACTGAGTCAGACCAAAGGTCCATATAGCCCGGTGTCCTGTCTGCTAGCAGTGGCCAATGCCAGGTGCCCCACAGGGAGTGAACAGAACAGGGAATTACATTTCCTCTCTCATCATCCATTTGCAGCCTCTGACAAACAGAGGCTAGGGACACCATTCCTACCCATCCTGGCTAATAGCCATGAATGGACTTAACCTCCATGAATTTATCTGGCTCTTATGAGCCCTGTTAAAGTCCTGGGGGTCTCAGCGTGCTGAGAGCATGTGGTCCCCACAGCTGGCCACTTGGAGCGAGCATGCAGGGGTGCCGCAGAAAGGATGCCTGCCTGAGGCTTCCCTAGCCGTGGGACAGATCCGGCAGTTTGACGGGCTGGGCTGT